CGGCACGCCCTTGCCCCCGATCATCCCGTCTTCGCGCCTCTTGCTGCCGCTGCTGCTCGTCGCCCTCACCTCGTCCCTCGCCTCGCCCTTTGGCTACGCCGCCCTCGGCCACATTGACTACATCACCTACATTCTGGCCAAGTCCTGCAAGCTGCTGCCCGTCATGTTCCTGCACGTCACCCTCTTCCGTCGCCGCTACCCGCTCTACAAGTACATGGTCGTCGCGGCCGTCACGGCCGGCGTCGCCGTCTTTACGCTGCACACGGGGAGCCACAAGAAGAGGGCGTCCTCGTCCTCCTCCTCGGGTTCGGGTACGGGCCAAACCGCCTGGGGCCTCTTGCTGCTCGGCATCAACTTGCTGTTTGACGGCCTCACCAACAGCACCCAGGATTACATCTTTGGCGCCTTCCAGCCCTTCTCGGGCCCCCAGATGATGTGCGCCAACAGCCTCATGCAGACCGCCGTGACCGGCGCCTACCTGCTGGTCGTCAGCCCCTTGCTCGTGCACTCTGGCGTGGGCGCCTGGCTCGGCGCCGTCGACGAGGTGGCTACGTCCGCTGGCCGCGGCGTCGCTGCCGCGGCCACGGGGCTCTGGGGCACCAACCTCGGCAGCGGCGAGCTGGCCGCGGCGCTCGAGTTTATGCAGCGCCACCCGTCCGTCTGGCGGGACGTGCTGGGCTTCGCGGCGTGCGGCGCCGTCGGCCAGATCTTCATCTTTTACGCCCTCGCCACCTTCTCGTCCGTCTTTTTGGTCACAGTCACAGTCACGCGCAAGATGTGCACAATGATGCTGTCCGTGGTGGCCTTTGGTCACCGGCTGTCGGGGATGCAGTGGCTGGGTGTTGGCCTGGTGTTTGGCGGCATCGGTGTTGAGGCGCAGATTGCGCGGACCGAGAAACTGAAGAAGGAGGCCGCCAAGGCGGGTAAGACGCAGTAAGAAGGCGAGGGGGCGAGAACAACACGGAGTTTTATGCGAAGAGACCAGTGCATGGAGAGCATGCACCTGCCATTGCAAACAGTTGCCATTTATTTGTCTTGTGCACCACTTGGCATTCCCATTTCTAGAAACGACGTGTCCGCGACAACGGAGATGTCAACTTACATGTACATATAAATTATATTTAGAACGTAAAATATAATAGAGCAAGAAGAAATTTTATAAGTAAGCCGAGCTCGGAAGTGCGGTTCCTGACTGTAAGCTGTGTGAATGATGTAGAGCAATTCCGTTCTATTTTTGTGTTCTTGGCTTGTATATTTCCTCAAATATAAATAGGACTTCTAAAAATAGTGAAGTATTATTTTTCTTTTAATTGACAGGATACAACATTTACATTTTATCGCCCTTACATACGACGAGTAAACAAATAAACAGTAGGACAAAAAGAAAAGAGAAGACAAGAAAAGACAAAGGAGCGTGAAGGGTTATATGCGCAATGCAAGTAGTAGACTCGGAAGCACCCTGGTTTATATGTGCTGCGCACCATTGACTGATGATTGGTGTTTACATATATATGCCACCGACGAAAAGGCCTGTTTGTAGTGTTATATTCTCAAGCACCTTCAAGTACATAGGACATAATATTTTATGGTTTGTTATTGTTATAAAAGATAATGATACACTAAAGGTTTGGACGAGGTTTTCAGAAATGTAAAAGCCTGCGCCCTATTTGTCACCCTGGCTCGCCAGAAATATGAAGCCAGATCGGACTAAATATTGAACACCTCCCGTCCTGATACCACCACTTGTCGCCTTTCCAACCCCCACACCCCCCAATGGAAAACAAATGAAAGCTCACACACATAAAAGATGGACAACGCCAGCAAACAAGTAAAATAAAAACACCGGCTAAAAAACGCTCGCTGGCAACGGCGTGTCCCCCCTCCTCTTCTTAGTCAAGAGAAGAAAGGCCACTCCTTTTTCATTCATATGATTTCATCAATGGAACGCACAATAGGCGTTTCGCCCTTGGTGGGCGGGCTGCGTGGATCGTCCACCTGCGTGGGCCGGCCAAACGGGAAGAAGGGATCGCGCGGAAACATCGTCTCGCGTGGGGAGAAGAGTTCGTTGGATATCTCTTTGTCCATGTCGTCAACCAGCGCGGGCCGCGCCTCGACAAAGTGCATGCCCCCCGCCGACGACATCTCGGCGTACTGCTGGTGGTCGGCCAACTGGTCGTGCAGTGGGTTGTTCGTCATGGTCTCCGCACGTGGCGACATGAGCGGCTCATCGTCGTCCACATATGCGGGGCGGATTGTGATCGACTGCTCCGGTTTCGGTGATGGCTTGACGATGATGCTGGGGAGATTGAAGAATGACGTCTTGAAGGTAGGCGCAGGCGGAGCGTTGGTCGTAGTGGTATTGGTATTGGTAGAAGTAGTAGTGGTAGTAGTTCTAGTAGTATTGGCGGCGGTGGTCTTGAGAGGGTTGCTGTAGTTGATAGGCCGCAAAGGAGGGTCCATGTTCCGAGCTAGGATGCTGTCCAGGCCATCGCTACAAGAGCTACGCGGTGGCGGGAAGCCAGGGCTGAGAAGCGGGAATCCAGACGACGAAGGGTTCGAATGTGAGCTGCCGGGGAACTCTCCAAAGCGATGTGCGGCAAAGCCAGGCGAGGGTGGCGGGCGCATGAAACCACCACCCGTACCATTGCCACCACCTGGCAGAGTCAGACCGCCGCTGCCGCCAAAGGTCTGGGCCTGGGACAAGGGCGGGGCATTCAATTTCGGTGGCTGAAGACCAGTCGACGTGAAACCAAAGTCGAACCGGCCGAACCGCTGCGGGTCGCTTTCATCCTCCTTCTCGTCCCACGAAAAGCTGGACGGTGCCGAGGATGGGCCCGGCGAGATGGGTTCCCGGCTGTTTGGCGTCGAGTTGCCGCGTGGCCGCATGGGACTTCTCTCCGGGCTGTTTATTGTGGCACTGCCGCTTCCATTTGCATCCTCGGCGGGCAGTGGTGCGGATAAGGGCTCCTTGGGCGATATTTCAATCGCGTCCATGGAGAGCGCTGCACGGTGCTTGGTCGGACTGCGGCCTGGCCGGAGCCAGGAATTCGAGCCTCTCCGCTTTCTGACCTCCTTCTGGAAGTCCTGCAGGCAGTACATCAGCCGCATATTGGGGCTGATCCATCTACTCTTGGCTTGAGCCGCGTAGTAGGAGTCATTGACAGTCAGCTCTGGATTCTGGTACATGCCGTACGCGATGATCAGACTGGCCGATCGACTCGCGCCCTGTTGGCAGTGGATCAGAACCTTCTTCCCCTCCTTCGTGCGCTGGTCGATCGCTTCGCAGAGCATCATGAGGTCCTGGCCAATGTCGGTATTATGGTCCCACGGAATGTGGATGTACTCGGGCTCTTGCAAGGTTTGGGTGGCCTTCGGAGTAGTGGGCGTGTTGTCCTCATTGCCTGCCTCTGTCGCACCAGTCGACGGCTCGGCCAGCGTCAGAGACAATGCCGGCGCTTTTCGCTTGAGGCGGGACGAAGTGGCGGCATGCGAAGCCTCCAACGTGTTGGTGGTAGGCTCGACGACAGTAGGAAGTGTGTTCGGCTCCGTCACCATGGGAATACTCCCGTCGACTTGCTCGCATTCCGCCGCAGGCTCAGCTTCTTGCTCCGTGGCCGGTTCCATAATCGGGGCCAGTTTGGGCACCGCATTTCTCGGCTCGTTCAGCTGAGGCGGTGACAGTTGACGTTGCTGTTGCTGCTGCTGCTGCTGTTGTGGTGGGAGCGGGTTTGACTGCGCCTGGGTATGTTTGGCGTTCGACTTGAATGGGTTCTTCACCTCGCGAGCGACATTGATGACAACATCAAAGCGCGAAGCCTCTTCTGCTGTCGGCTCGAGGTACAAAAACACATTGTCATCGTAAATAGCGATCGGGCCATCGGGGTAGCCGGGCGTCTTCTGGTCCTCATTATTCTCGACCTCATGGTACGGCTCAAATTCGTACGTGGCACGATTTGCAATCTGCGCGCGAATTGGCGATTCCTCCTCAAGAATAGTGGCGTCCAACCCGACCGGACCAGCCGGTTTGGAAGGGCGCAAGAATTCAGAGAGGCCCGACTCATTGCGCTCGAGAACAGTGGGGAAAGTCATGCCGCCTGGCGGACCAAATGTGGAGGAGTTGAGCGATGACAAGATGTGTGGCGATGACGTCGAGTGCTTTAGCGCACGTCGCTGGAGGATGGGCGGAATGGCCAAGGATGGCGACTGAGGCACCTCAATTGCCGTGGACTTGACAAGGTCGTGGGTGGTGGTCTTCAAGCTGAGCTGGCTGGGCTTACGCTTCATGGCGGGAATCTGAGGCTTGATGAAAGATGGTGATGTCGGTTCAGAAATCTGCGTCGACGTCGGCAATGTCGGTGACACGAATGGCGGCTGGATGGACAGACCCTTCATGTTGCGCCGCCTTGGCGACGGTGAGGTCATGGGGCGCTCAAGGCCTTGGCCGCCATTGCTGTTGTTGCTGTTGGTGGTGTTGCCGTTATTCGGGTCAATGACTGACAAAGAGGCCAAACCAGTCGACATGGAAGCGAAACCGCCAAACGAGGGGCCAGGGAAGGCGGCAAGCGGAAGGAGGTTTATTGGTGAGTCGGGCGAGGACGACGGCGACGGGTCAGAGAGAGAGGACGAGTCTGTGCATGACATTGTGGTTGTGGGCGACGAGTCAGCCGACTCGGACATTTGTGTCGAGGTGCTGTCGTGATGGCGGTGTGACGGATCGGAGAGTGCCGGTGGTGCAGCGGGGCCCGTCGTGCTTGCGGAGGATGGGTGAGCGAGGCTGGACAGCTGCTTCTCGGCGAAGCTGGAGCTGGGGAAGCCTATTATTTTGGGATCGACAACGGTGACAGTGCTCTGGTCGTCCATCGTCTCGGCACCCAGATCGAAGACGGACATAAAGGACGGTATTTGGTCCTCGTATAATCGCCGTGCGGTGGCCGAAGGCATTGTCGGAAAGGGAGGCGGCAGAAGTCGGGAGCGTTGAGAGGGCGAGGAAGAGGAAAAAGATGGCCTTTGTTCGTTTGGGGGGCCGCTGGGTGTGCTGTTCGGCCTCGTCGGCAATGAGCCGGCGCGGTCGTTGGGAGCCTCCAGGTTTGCTTCCGCTGCGTCAAGACCCAGTACGCGCCAACCGCCTGGGTATTGGTGCTGCGACGGAGAAGAAGCGGAAGAAAGAAGAGGGAGAGAGGTGCAGTATTAAACGTGTTGCAAAAGTCGAGAGGGTTGGATTTGTCGCAGAGAGAACCAGTAACGCAGCGAACAATAAGGTTATTAGGGCGGGTTTGTTGGGTCGAAAAGAGAACGGCAGCGAAGCGAAGCAACAGTCGAGAGAGGGCAGGTTGAAAGACAAAGGCCGGCCAAAAGAGGAAGAAAAAAAAGAAAAAATGAGTCCAAAAGCAAAGCGACGTCTGGTCTAAGAAGAATCTAACACATTGTCGGTTGTGCCGTTGCAAAGTCAAAAGGCGGAGCGCCGCGGAGGATGAGGAAAAACAAGGAAGAGATCGCAAGGAAAAACGAGCAGAATGGAAAGAAGAATGGTAAGCCGACAAGGACGAAAGGGACAAAAAGCGGACGCGAGACGAGGCGGAGGAGAGAGATGGGCGAGCGCAAGTCGATAGTGCGTGCCGGCGTCGTCGTCTGCTGGCTCGCTCGTAGCGTGCTCGATGGGAGGGTTGATGATGATGTCCCCGGGGGGGAGAAGAAAAGAAGAAAACAAGTCAAGGTGTAGAGGAAAACAAACAGACGAGTGCAAAGAGCAAGCGAAAAGACAAAACAGGTTGGGCGTGGGTGAGTGTGTGAGAAAAGACGAAAGGACAAGAAGACAGCCAGAAAACAGATTTGGCTGGTGCTGGGTGCCAATGACAGGGGACAAGGGAGGAAGAGGAGGGGGAACAAAGAGAGAAACGGGGGAAAAGAGGCGGCGGGTGAGATGTGAGGCGTTGTGTGTGTGCGCCAGTGAGTTTGTGAACGCTGGACAGAACAGGAAAGAGCCACCAGCGCCAGGCGGTTCGGTCTGCCTTTGTTCAGCAACAGGAGGGAGACGGACAGGGGTTTGCCTGGGAATTGGAAGGGTATGTGGGTGATTGGAGGGTGGTGGAGTTCTTTGTGAAGAGGGAAAGCGCGAGCGACAACGGCAAGACGGAGAATGAACGAGGGTGGGATGGATGGCCAGAACAACCAGAACGACCAGAACGACGGCTGTTGGTGCTGAAGAAACGGGGGCCTTCTTTCTCGCCTGAGGAGCGGCAAGGTCTGCGAATAGGGACAAAGTATGTTGTACTCCGTTCTCCGACTGTTCTGTGCAAATGAGGGGAGCGGCAGGAGCGACGGACAACCGCCACGGGTCTGGTATGGCAGTCACGACCAACCACTGACTGTGCACATGTATCGTTACTTTTAGGAACAAAGGGCAGGTGCGATGGACGGGCCCAAAACAAAAGGATTAGGATCGAGGGTTCCAGGTCGAGGGCCGAACGTCGAGTGCGCGCGTGGCAAAGACGACAAGTAAGATCTGCGTCTAGTAGGGGAAGACGAGGGAGCAAGAAGGATGGCAGAAGGACAGTGCCTCGACTGCTTTGCATGCGCTCAACAGAGAGAAACAGTTTCAAGAGGATCAGGATGAGAAGGCGCAACGCGAAGTGAAAAGCGGGTCTCGCATGGGCGGTTTGGCTGTCGTTCCTTCTGTCGTCTTCGTTTCTGCTTGCCAGCCGCAATCGCCCTGTACGTCGTACGCGGGAAAGCCAAGGAAGTTGTCGTGTTGGAGCGTGCATGCTGAGGCTTACTGGTAAGGCGCCCCACAGTACTAAGTGGTTGTCCAATCAGCACCCACAGCGCCGGCGTCTGGAACAACCCTCCCCTGTCCGGGCGGCCAATCACCACGCGGCAATCTGCTGGAACAGTGTTTCGACTGGTTCTGGCGCCTACTAAAAATAGAACGTCCAACCAATGGGCGTCGATGCCCGAAATTTAAAGACGTGAGAGGGAAGGAGAGGGGCCACTATTAAGGAGAGGGACGAGGAGGCACCCTTTCCGTCGCCGCGGGAAGGTGCAGTTCGTGCGCTGGTTGCGGGTCTTTTTTTTTTTATTTTTTATTTTTTTATACCATTTGCATGGCGACTTGCCTGGCTTCTGCCTCGGACGGCTTTCGACCATTCAAACGTCCTTACTCCGAACGAGGCATCGCGAAGAGGACCCGGCCGTTTGTTGGTTCCGCGAAGTGTTTTGCAGCTTTTACGAATGTAATTGTCAGGCTCTTGGCCTCGCCCTCTGGCCGCGTCCTCGTCCCGTCCTCTTTACATGCGACTCGCGGCGGCCGTTCTGCTTGAACGAATACATAAATAGAGCCTGCGATATTAACAGCATTTGGGAGCCAGAAATAGACGCGCCTGCTCCTTTTCATTACCATTGCCGCCTGTGGCGTATTACCTGTTGCCTTGCCAGTCACGCTGTACAGAGAAGGTCGTATGCCGTCTATGCTTCGACGGGCCTGGCCGACGCTGAGACGCCAGCAAGACAAGACGAGGAACGAGAGCGACTGCTCCCATGCTGTGACATTTACGGGGTGCGGCGCAAGCGATGGCCTGTCGTATCGTACCCCTGGCTGTCGTCCACAACACAGCAGGCCGCTGTTCTGCCCTGCTAATCCTGCACCAAAACCTTGTCCTTGTCTGGCCGCTTGCCTCACTCCACTTGCTCGTCGCCGCTCGTCATCCTGGCCATCAACATCCTTGTTTGTTTCTTTACTGACCCGAGGTATCGACTTTTTTGTTTCCCATACGGAGTATTTTATTTTTATTTGTCTTTCCAGGATCTGGCCTTGTCAAAGAGGGCACTAATTTCTCAGTTCTAGGTCCGAGGTCTGTTTACTATTTTCATGTTCGTACGATGTATGGCTTGACTTGGACTGGGCAGGCTGGCTGACATGAATGCATTGCGACAGTGAGTACGACGTCCGTCGTAAGAGTAGTACTCCCGGCAAAATGTGCTTAGCTGGCCTCTGAGCAATTTTGCACGTGTGGTAGATTGCTGGATTGCTCGATTGCTCGATTGCTGTCATCGACCTGTCAATGCCATGGAAAGACCGCCGTACGATCTCGTCCCAAGTTGACTGTTTCGCCGCCTGTCATACCTCCTGACGCGACGGGGCCATGGGGCCATGGTACGCTGATGTACCCCTGAACGGAGAGGAACGTGAGCAAAAGAAGAGAAACCAGGCCAGTCCATTGTTCTTGATGCATTGTTTTGCGGGTGCTTCCCGGGGCTTTTTGGTGTTTCTTGCGTTTCTGATACTTCGTTGCTGGAACAAGAGCCATAAAACGCATACTCCCCGACCATGGGCTTTCCCTGATTGCCGTCTGCTTGTCCGTCTCCTGATTGCCTTTGGATATGCGACGAAAGGAGAGCTGTAGGGGGGCCCTGCATCGAGGACTCTCGTGCTCCTGACAACACGTTTTCAACATTCGATGCACAAGGTGACGGCAAACAAGACCTTCGGAAGAAACAATGCTGCAGTAGTCACTGACTGGGGCCTGGCCGCCCTCGGCCCCGTCTCCCCGGCCTATCGTACACATCTTCAGACACACCTCGGACGCACGTTCGTATGAGTACGATGCATCGTGTAATGAAGCTCCTCCTTCCTGCATTAAAGAGGGACCTCTGGGAAATGCGCGCCTTCACCGCTTCACAAACTGTGTATTGCACACAAGAGGGCAACAAAAAGTTTTGCTTAGAAGGGTACCTTCGCTCCCGTGTTTTGTCGAAAGCGAACCCCTTACACTATTACGCTATGACGTCTTCCATGCTGCACGACTTTGGGCTTCCGCTGTTTTGAATGGCATCGAATAGAAGAATGCGATGTAGACTATTGGTACGTATACGTATCCTTCCCGACATTAGAAAACGACACGTTCCTGGCTCATCCCAGCTGTTCCTGTCTGCCTAGGGAAGACGCGAACTGGCCCTAAAACATCATTTTACCCCGGTCAACGGCAGACACGCGACTCTCACTGTAACTACGATGTATCTCACAGACTGGGCCACTCTGGTCGTAGAGAATCGGCGGCATGAAATACGTCGTATGCGAAATATGATACCATGAAAATAAAGAACCGGAGACAATGTAGGGCAGCTGCCGCAAATAGAATCTTTAGTCGTTTTGGTTAAGATTAAATGAGAGAGAGGCGGGAAACGGTGGGCGTCGAATCTTCAGCATCTGGGCCCAAGATAGCCTTAAATTGCTTCAGAGTATTTTCCGTGCTGAGATGTGATGTAATCTAGTGCGCTGTTTTTAAAGACAGTGTAAAGATATTCGATCGCAATTTAAGAGAGACAGAATTTCAAGCTCCATGTTTGATTTTGTCATCTTCGTTCCACTCACTCAAAGCAAAACGACGCCTCAAAAACAGTAGATGCCGCCAACTCTGAAAGCGGCAAGGCTGTGCTTCTTGTCTGGACTTTCTCTTCGATTTAATATCCACTCTGGCGCCCCGAGCCTCCAAGTGCCCCTTGTTGTGTGTGCCTCCAAATATAACAGGGTCGACCAAAACAACGTTTGCCCCGGACAAAATCTGAAACGCAGCCAATTTGGCTTGCTTCCCACCCATTTTTTTCCCTTTCTTGAGATGTAGGAGGAAGGGTCCAGATTGGATCCACCCGCACGGGCAGGGCCAGCATTTGTGCGCTCTCACATGTCCTCGATCTTTTGAATTATTTTCAAGCATCGCTACCTTTGCCTTACTGGTTTATTTGAAGTTTTATTTTGGTGACGATTTCTTTGGCAACGTCTTTTGGTGCCCGAGCTCCGAAACCGCTAGCGTTCCCGGGATGACTTTACACTGTGGAATCTAGCTAGCAAGTTCAGGACATGGCTCCGTTCAGGGTCTACGATGTATGTACGACGTATGTCGTAATACCTCCGTAAACTAAAACGAAATACCCACAATTTATCTCCCGTATTGCTCCGTATTGTGTAGATACATACAAAAAACACATATGGATGGAAATGTCAAAGATTGTGAAATAGATAAAAACAAAACGACCTGGAGATATGCAGGGCTTCAGCTGCGCCGGGGGAGGGAAGAGGAGGATTGTGCATGGATGGAGACCTGTCGAAAAAGGCAAAAATAGAAAGTTGACAGAAAACAAAAGTTGAAACAAAAGAAACGACAAAAAACAAATTCGACTGCAACCTACCCATGTAGCCAATTTGACGAGCAGGAGAGAGGCCGAGTGCTGCATGAGAATGTAAACAAAGACAGATTAAAGAAAATAAATAGCGAAACGTGATAGAAAAGCAATTGTGGACAGCACCGCGGACTAGACGGGCCTCGCCCCCGTTGTACGTTCTGCTATCCGTGTCGGCCTGTCAACTTCATACAGAATGAAGTGGTACAAATATCTCGCAGTTCAGTAATGTCTTTGCTGATATAACACGGCCGGGATACCGAACTCGGACATGGCTACGAGCCTCCGTCGGGGTATAAATGCCGTCTCTCGTGCCTTGATGAGAACACGAAACCTGTATTATTGAGACCGAACAAAACGCATTGCAGAAAGAATGGTCGCAAAGTTTGAGTTTCGAACGGCAGGCATCGACCCAGGCACAGGCAACGAAGACATGACAGTGGAGCACAGGTGTCATATGATGCAGGCAGAATAAAAACCGCGAAAGTAAACAAATGCGAGTTGGTCTCCTACATACCTGGAACCCGTCACAGACAGATTGCCGGGTGGGCGGGAAGCGAGTGCAGTTACCGTATAGGAGGTATCGGTATCTGTCTTTCCCCCATTTTGATGTAAACAACAGACACCTGGGTAAAATGAAATCCAAATAGACGTGTAAACGGTTCAGAGAGATATTAGTAAATTAAGAATGGGGAAAGGGGAAATTGTATAACCGGCAGAATACAAATACCACGAGATGAGGTATATCACAGGGCTGGCAATTAATACGACGCCGACGATATGATAAAATAAACGGGCAACAGATAAACATTCTGCAACAGCCGTCTCGGCAACGTAAATGACACGGCAAGAGAAGGCTGAAGCTTGTTATGCGGGTGAAAATTCAAAACGAACTGTGCCTTTTTCTTGTTCTTTGTCGTCCCCCCACGCACACCCATCGAGATCTCGATATCCCAATGTTGAATTCCGTGTTCGTTACGCAAGTTCGACCACTGCCTCGCCTGGTCAACGCAGCTCCATGCCGTCCCGGCTTGAACGAACACCATTGGGGAAGGAGGTGATACATGGAGACTGATTTGCATATTCACGTAGTCAAGTTTCGAAAGAGATAAGATGGTAAGTGTGTAGTCGAAGCAAGCCTTGGTGACATGCAAGGCGACTAGGTCCACGGATATATTCCGTATGCTTAAAAAAGAGAAGAGCACATGCGGTTGTAGTTTCCCAATTCCCGAAAGGCTAGAACCCGGAACCGTGGACAAGGTTCCTGGTTCAGGCACGTGTGCATGTGAAATATATCGAATTTTTCTTTCTCGCCATGGCCGACCAACTCTGGCTTGTCTGTTGCCTTGTGCCAGCATGGCTGTGAGTGTTTGAGCCAGAGGAACAACTCATAACTGTACACAAGCCGGCCACATTGATTTCAGTCTACTTTTCCACACCGCACCCGCGATCTTGTCCCTCTGATGATATTATTGCTCTGTAGTCCATATGTCCCTCATCCTCCGGGGCGTGCTCTACCTCAGACACAGGCTGCCTAACCTTTCCGTGGCGGTTCATCTGTCGTACAACATTGAGTAGCTGGTACAGAGTTTTATCAACAACGCATAGTGATTCCTGACAGTTGCCTTTGCCTTTTGTGCGGCAGTAAGTTGTCATATGATGGCGTGCATGTAGAACGAGGGAGTTTCAAATGGGCATATGAGGGAACACAAACTGAGGCAGGTGACATGATAAAAATGCTGTGTACCGCCATTGTGAATGCTCATATTGCCCGGGCCTATTGGTTTTTCTGCAGTTTTGCACAGGAACGTGTGTTGTGTCGTGTCACCTTCGTCACAGGTTGAGTCTTTTGTATTCTGCCAAGATGCCACACGGAGAGCGGCCAACTCACATTTATATCTTGCGTAACAAACAAATGTGTCGTCCCGGGCCCAAACCACCTCGGAAACTTCAAGAAAACAGTTGAACTTTCGGGTAGGGGTTGCCGTTAACGCTGATGATTGACTCTCAGCGCCCCTTACTTGACTTTCGACATACGTTTATTGATTTTGAAAGACGTCTCTTGCCATGTTGTGGACAGGGTGTGGAATACAAACAAACACGGTAGGCTGCATGTCCTCTCGCGTCACGGAGCTCAAAGGCCCGATGCCATACGGTGCTGCACAAAATAAATAACAAAGGCTGTGCGGCGATCAAACGATTCTGGAGGTGGATAGATATGTGGTATTAGCCCCTCATCTGCCTCCCTTTCCCGTCAGCTGGACGAAACATTAAAAGTTCTCTCTTGTACGGAGTAGTAGTAACATCTGTATTACGTAGAAGACGAGTGAGCTTTCTGTCTGTTATGAGGGCAGCACGAGCTGTTTGTTTGTTGGAGCCATGAAGAGGTGTTGTGATGTCACTGTTGTGTTTCAGAATAGAGGGAGCGCCGTGTTTTTGTGATCTTGTCCTCGTGACCTCGAACACAAGGGAAGAGAATCACGTGTGGTCCTTGGAGCCCCATTCATCGTTCATGATGCGGTCCGCACGGAAGTGTGGCGTTTCATGGCCCGGAAGGACCTCTGTTAGGATCGGCACGTCCTTTGCCCGGAGCTGATGTCCGCTTCCGGTCGGAGCAGCTACACAAGCAGATATAAAATGGAGTTCGCCGCAAAAGGAAAGGCAAACCGCAAGAAAACGGACTCTCCGCACCCTGGACTATTGCTATATCCTTTCCATAACAAAACATACCTGCTACTACTTTTGTCACCGGATGATTTCTCCGATAGCCTAGGATGCTCTTGTTTACTTCGATCACAAGTCTCCATTCGACACGCGACGTCGCCAGACTGTACTCTGCAACGTTTATCGTCGTATGCAACGGGCCATTGAGAACTCCCCTGCCCAATTTCATGTCCCGTTGGCACAGAGCGCCATATTTTCGTTTTCCCTGCTCGAAGCACAATATCCTGTGCTTTGCTCTACATTCTTACGTGAGCAAGTTAATTCTTCAGACAACGTCAATGACTGCAGGTCCATCGTTGTTTCGACCTATGCAACTGGCCTGGACCATCAACGATGCTTCATCCAGACAAGAGTGCGCACTGGATGGAGGACGTATGCTGGTAATGGGGTCTTTGCTTCGCCCGAAACCATAATGATCAGACGGCACCCTTCTGGACTCTTCGTCTACGTCTTTCGACTGCACAACGCTTCTTGCAAGCTCCATCTGGCAACCGCCGTCCGCTTTTCACTCTGCAGCCTACCACCCCATGTATATTACATGTATGGTCTGCAGGCGCCGCAGACTGCCAGTTGACGAGAAACCTCGCCTTGCGGGTATTTCTTTCAGGTTCCTCTGTCAAACAGAGTGCCAGCACAGTTTGTTGCCATCAGCACGGCAGTCGGCCACAGAACATTTGGGCCACGCACAGGAAGCAAGGGGAATCCTGGAATCCATGGCTCTAGGCAAATCCCAACGACCTTGCCGTGATTCCGTCCACGCGAGCATGGAGCGTCAAATCTCAATGTTTGTCGTTCCGTCGGCTTTGCTCCGATGTAAGGGATGAGCAGCAGTCCGTGTGAGCGTTTTCGAACATCAGCCCCTGTTGTCTTGTCTTTTTATTCCAGATTTAGGCCATTGAAAAGAAAGCGACCTTGGCGACCTGGATGTGGCATGGAGGCCTGGCCATTCACCGAGAAGAGAGCAACAATGAGAAATTATGCAACGGGAGGAAGCGTGGGAGTAAGTACCTGACCTCGCTGACGACGTAGGCAGAATACTTTGCAAGAAAAATAAAATGGGCAAAGTTGGACATATTGAAACAGCCAACGAAGACGCTAAGCAAGGGGGTCGAGGGGGATCGAGGAAGGAAGAGCCTAGGATAAGAGAGTAAAAGAGTGGGCACAAAGTCAGACAAAACGGCGTGGAAAGAAAAAAAAACACATGAAAAGGAAGACGACAGAAAAAATGGAAAAGAAAGGCAAGAACGAGATCGAAAAGTAAGAGAAAAAAAGAAAAGAAAGTGGAAAAGGGCGGATTAGAACTCCAAGTTTTTGTCACGTTGGGATATGTCTCATCCAAAACAAGGCGCGGTCAGCATCCCTTGCAGCGGTGATCGACACACTCGTGGCTACCATCGATGCACGAGGCTCGCATCATTGCCGCTCCGGTCCAAAATATTGTAAACGGACCGGAGAAATTGTGAGACTCAGCTGAGCAGAGAAAGTCAGGGTGCAAGCAAAAAGGCGTTGGGTAGGTATCAAGGTGTTGTCGACTAACATGCATCTGTGCGACGTGTTTTGCACATTCTTGTGGGCTCAGATTCCTGCACGACACAGGAGACCTAAAAATGAAAAGAACAAAAGAAAGTTGGAAAAAGCAACGTTGGTGCTTGGGCACAGTGACATTGCGTTCACTTCGTTTACATTTAGTGGGCAAGATTGGGATAGGAGGTGCAAGCTGCAAGGTTCAGACTTCAAGGTGTGGTGCAAATGGAAATCTGACCACCAACCAAGCCACCTCCTTTGCAAGGGGAGTGAGAGATCAAAGCAAGAATGCTCTGGTACTTTTTGATGTCTTTCGCTGAAAAGAGGCCTTTGTAACTGGGGAGTTGTGGCTTCCTCGATCCTTGCTGATTTTCGTCTCAATTTTTCTCACTCTCCTTATGTCCATAGATGTGGATCTTGGTACACTTTGGTGCGGCGATGGGAAGGAAGAAGACAAGGGGGAGGAGGTCAGTTTGTTCTCAGTGCAACCCAACTCCGCTGGTCAAGAAAACGAACACAGCCGACAGCCCCTGTTCTGCCCTGACGAAAGAGCCTTGTTGTCGTGTTTTAGGACCTGGCTCTTTGGCAATCAATCGTTTTTTGGGGTTACCTTCGCCAGCATATCAAATTATGGAATACGTCGTGGTTTCATTGGGCAAAAACATCAGGAGAAGACGAAATTTCCTGAACAGCGTAAGGCCCATAGGCGAGAGAACGGCTTCTGCGGTCTGTCGACGGCTTGAAAGACAGAAACCAGGTACAGCATGGTACTTTTTTGCGGTATCGCCATTAGTGAGGTTTGTTGTCTGTCGTACGGCCGTTTTGTTTCATTTGAGCCACCTCTTCCGGATAATCGGCCGGCTTGGCTATATGACAGCCATTATCGATGAGACCTAAAGACAACCATTTTGTTAGTGACTCGGACACGTTTTAGTCATCTTGAAGGTTATCGTTCTTCCACAGAATGTCAAGGTGGTAGGCGATCCGGCACAACCATGGGTTATGTGAGAACGGCCCTTTTTCGAAGTAACTGAAGAAATGTCCCTGGAAGGAAGGCAGAAGAGAAGGAGAACACGGACTCAGACGAGAGAAACGACCGAGCGCATCGCCAGCGAACTCCGCCTCTTTCTACCGTGCGCACGTCCTAATCTTCATGATGCGCCCCCCTATTTGTGCTTCAGATACCAGCCACCGAGAATCAAAAGAGAGTCTGCAATACAAGACCGGCGACTTGGAAAATATGCGGAAGAGAGCCTACTCGGTCCGCGCGGAGATTTCTCTGCACCATTGTGCGACCTGTCAACTTGGTGTAACGCTGCATATTTCTCTTGCAAAGCGGTGTAATTAGGTTGTCTTTTGCTTGCCGTTGTGCCATTATTTTTGCGATTCAAAAAGGAAAGTCGGAAATTGTTTGGGTGCCACAAAACCGCTGAAAGATCAACAGAAGCCTAATCCGTGGAAAAGAGGGAGTCTGTCTCTGAAAACCAACAGCAAAAACCAAGAAATACAACAACATGCCGTCTTGGAGAAGACAATGCAACAACATATGCGTATTGGAACAGGCGCAGGACAGTCCATGGGACCGAGAGCCAACATTAGACGGACGCGCTGTTGCTTTGGCGTGGCCTAATGTCTTGTTTTCGTGTATTTTGTTTCTCGAGGTTGTTTTATTGTCTTGTTGCTATGTATTGTCCCGTAATTTCTTCTCCGTTCACTTGAAAATATTCGACGTACGGGTGGGTGGCTGGGATGTCAAGAGTGAGGGGGGCCTCGAATGGCTGGTGGATCGCACGGCACAACCAGCGAATGGCAGCAGTCAATTGGCTTCACAAGTCTGAAAAGTAGGTGTGTTTGTGATAGCTGTTGGTGACAACCAAGGAAACGACAGCCTGCACGAATTGATGTGACAAGAGGAGCGAGGCGGGAAGGCAAGGGAATGGAGGAAAAGGAAAAAGAGACAAGAGGAAAAGCCAGAAGGGGACAGTAAGGGACGGAACAGAAGAACGTCGAGAAGGAAACCCAGGAAGTGACGATGTTAAGATCGGCACCCACAACAGCATCCATTGTTTAAAAATGGCCACGCTACGCTAGCCGCATGTCTCGCCTTTTGATACCGCGCATCGATTCACGTCAGAAGCGAGCAATAGTGCCTAGGCAATCACGATCTCAGTGCCATGAGCAGCTTTGGGGAGGTGACGCCAGTATGCCCTTGGACCTTGCGTCGACTAGCTCGAGGAGAGGTAGGTCCTGATGGGATAGTGGAGGGGGGAAGTTGGAGTGCAGTTGGCTCCATGGCTCCTCTTTTCTCCTGACTACCTGCAGACCCCTGTGGTGGTCGAGTGGGTGCATGCGGGTATGTGCGTGGAGGTCCACCGAGATCATGGAGCTGTAATACCCGTCCGATTTTGTCCATTTCCTCGCTTCGGCAGAAACGTGATGGCATGTCGAAATTCGACCAAATTCAACGTTTGTCTCGGTTCGATCCTCACTTCCCACCCCCCTTTGATTCTTTTTTGTTCCTGCCTTTCCGGTCGTCGCCGTTCTCCTTCTGTCAGGGTATATTCGTCATTTTCTTGCTCGCTGAAAATCGAACGTACGGAGTAGTTGTACTGTCGTAGCTTGTATTGATATTTCTTTTCCGCCGAGAGACACGTTTGAGAGAACGACCTCATTCTACCTTCGATCCTCTCTTGGGACATCCTCCAACAATTCCTCATTAGTTCATAGCGTGCATGTTTTCAAAAGAAGACAAGACAGATTTAAACAATACGACGTCAAGGGCACTCACGAAAAACAAAATAGAGAGGGGGGCAGAGTCCACTTCGAATCCACCAAGACAGCTGCAGACCCTTGTTGGTATTGACCAAAGAGTCACCCGCAACATCCTGGCGCGTTGCTCTCGAGCTGTTCGGCTTTGTCGAGCTTGCTTCCTGACGTTGAATTGTTGAATCTTCAACGTCTTGTTCGCCTCTCCAATTTGCTTTGGTTTGCCGTGACAGTCGTCCTGTTTTCGTTCACCTCCAGTATCTCGATGCTCTCCTGAATTTCACCTCTCAATTGCTTCGACATTAGTATTATCCACGATATATAAGCACTTGTCGACTGCCCCATGCTCCCAGCTGCACGCGCTGCTTCTCACCTGTCGCCGATGGAACACGCCCAGCTCAGCGAGACCGAGACTCGACAGATGAAACTCACCTTGATCACGACGTAGCATATTTTCAGAGCTATCGAGTTGCTGGACTTGGCTCCGGACCATCATCCGAAGACGCCGACGACACCGACGACGCCGACCACCGCTTAGTAGGTGAACGACGAATATCACATCGAAGCAGCAAAAACAAAGCACACCGAAAAGCCGATCGTGGAAGCATACTACAGATTGCTCGCGAAGGAGGTGGAGTAAATAGGGGAATAAGGAGACAAAAGATACCGCATAGAGAAGGAGTCCCCGACAGACGCACCGAACGAGGAAGGACCGCCCAGGGTATATTGATTGCATTAGTTTCTGAGGAAGTCACGATACGCTGCGCTTTTGGAAGGCACAACCGACGACATGGCTTCCGCCGTCATGCCCCTAGGTCTCGCTGCTGAGAAATCGGCACCTGCATCTGTCCTTCAGACAGCATCGACCGGCATCGACAACATTGGCATCCGGGACAGCACAAATGCCCTCATTCCTTCACCAACGCGTTCTACATTTGGCGACGATGTCACGCCAGCTTCGCCAACGTCGCCGACGATGAGCCACTATACCATACAGCAGAAGACGCAAGAAGCGAGCTCTCCGTCGGAGACCAATACAAACAGCATCCTCCACAGCCATCGCATCAACAACAGCGCCTCCAAGCTGCCCGCTTTCCGTTTTGCCGACCTCAAGAAGGACACACTCGTGCTGCCATCGCGTCTACAGCGCATGCCGCCGTCGCCCGTGTCGCTGCCATCGCTATCGCCCAGTGCTAAGGCAAACGGTGTGGCCGAGTCCTCGTTCGATTCCCAGGAACGCAAGGACCAGGAGCGGACGCACAACGCACTTTCCGCTGTAACTGGCGCTACTGGAACCGCCCCGCCTGCGACAACAAAGCGCCGAAACAGCGCTGGCACCATCAATGCTGGCCAAGCTGGCAACAGCGCCAATAGCACAGGCAGGCCATCCCCCCCCAAAAGCCACACCCATGCACACTCCCTTTCAGGCCCGCCATCCCTCCCTGTGCCAACAACAGCACCAGCGACCTCGCGTACCTTAACCCGCCCGAGTCCAGCCACCGAAACTAGCACTCGGTCCCGCGTGTCGTCGTTTCAAAATACTGTGCCCACGCCTGCGGCGCCCGATTCGCCCAAATCGCCCGAATCGCACCAAAAGGAAACCCAAAGCCAAAACTACGCACCCAATCCCAAACACTCCTCGTCCTCCTCGTCCTCCACCGCCATCACCGCTTCTTCCGCCGTCACCGCCGCCACGTCGCCCTCCACAAAGAGCGCCGCCACCACTTCCACGGTGTCGTCGTCGTCCTTATCGTCGTCCTCCTTTACGGCGCCGACCTTTACGTCGTCGTCCTCTGCGATTTCGTCGTCTGCCGAATTGACTCCGCTCGACGACGTCTCTCGCGATTCCCAGCCATTTCACGACAACTCCCCGCCAAAGGTCGTTGTTTCGACCCCTTCTCCCAATACTACCGTAGCCTTCGCTGCCAATCCCCTGTGTTCGCCATCGCCCACCCCTGCATCTTCCAGGTCACCTAGATCACCCGCTTCTCCCACTTCTCCCGCGACTCGAGAACGTGGATCGCCCGCGCCCACTTCTCCTGCTGACACGGCAAGACTGCAACGTACCCTCACCGACCCGAGCCCGTCCAAGAAGAAGAGGTCGCAGCACCGCCGTGCGACTGCGTCCTTTGGCTCCAACGACCTCGACTCTGACGGCCTTGCAGCAACGTCCTTCACGAAGCGCTTCCCAGCGAAGGCAGAATCTCAGGTGGAGAACTCTGCGCCGACGCCGATTCAAACACCGGCGACAGCCCGCGCCGACAACCGCGCTGCCGACCACGACGACGATCTTGCGGCCTCAGAAGCCACCGGCGCAGACCCGCTCTCGCCCGAAACGTCCACCCAGGAGTGGGCCAAGGGCCAGCGTGATCTGGTTTCGACCGGCAAGACCAAGGTCACGGCCAAGACCAAGACCAAGTCGAGCTCTCTCGACATTGATACGCAGGAGTCTGCTGTGTCCGAAACGTCAACAACAGCGCTCGCCACGCGACGCTCGCTGCCCCAACAGTCGCTCCAGTCGCTCCAGTCACCGACGCTCCAGTCTGCCGATGACAAGCGAAAGACGTCCTCGCGCCCTCCGCTCTCGTTCCGTGCGCCCCGCAACGAGGTCCCGACGTCTCGTCCCATCATCCCACCCATCCGATCCTTCCGCTCTTCCGGCTCGCGCAAGAGTCTTGGCTTACAGGACATGAACCTTCGCTCGCCGGGCGGCGCCGCCTCCTACGATGACGTCGACACCGCTGACGGCGGCGTACTTGATCCCCGCCAGCGCGACCGCACTCTGCGCGCCCTTGAGGGCCGCAACGCGGCCGACGACGACGATTACTCTACCGGTACTCCGCTTCCACGGCGCACCGAGCCCGATACCACGGGTGACGTCTTTATGCGCATAGCGCGCGAAGACGATCGTCAGCCCGACGATCCCAACGCAACTGTAAGCTCGCAACCATTCTTTTTGTTTACGTCACACGTTTTTCTGCCTCTATTTGCCTTATTTCTCTCCACACTTCGACCTTGCCGTTTTGTTTTGGATCTGCACTTGCTGCACATCTTGCGCAAGATGGCAAAATCCCAATCTCATGTTGTCTCATTACACGGCATAGACATGTCTGTCTCATCTGGTCTCCTACTAGAGGGACATTTGCGGGCGATCCCTTTTTTTCTTGGCGTCGGGTTTCCGCATCGTTCTCTGTGTTTCATTATCCTTCCATGTCCTCGCCCCAACAGTGGCCTAGATCCTTGGCTGCAGCTTTTTTTCTTCTATCAAAAATACTGACATTAGTTTCACCACAGTCCCGTATAAGTCGCACAACATCTCAGCGGAGGCCTTTTTCTGCTGCCGTGCCGTCACGCCAAACTACATCACCGCAAATCACACGCCGTCTCTCCGATCAGCGGGAAACTGCCCGCCAACGACGGTATGCCGACGAGCAAGCGTTGCAGCAACAGCAGCAGCAGCAGCAGCAGCAACTACAGCAACAGGCTGCAGTTGCACGGGACACACCGCTGCGGACTTTGGCCAGCGAGCGGACTACGCCGCTGCGGTCGGCAACAGCATCACAGCGGCCTGACCCCATTCGCACACGCACTGTCATTTCATCAGCACGACCATCACCGAGCACGCCTCGAACATCTGTGTTCTATGACACGGCGTCTGACGTTGGTACCAACTACTCACGGAGGCGTCCTTCTGTGACGGAACCGATCAGCAGCGGCACCCCATTACCACTGCGAACCTCGTCCATCAAGACCGCCCATAATTATGCCCGCACTTACAACTCCTCGCCACTGGCGCCACGACCCGCCGATGCGCCACGCCAGGACATGCACGATATTGGCCATGGCGGCCAGGGTGTTGGTGGTGGCATGGACAGTACGGAGTCTACTGCTTCGGCCGCGCCGTCGACGGTCTGGGATGAGCTGGACGACCTCAAGTCGCGTATGCGGCGGCTCGAGTTGACCGGTAAGATTCCACCCGCGGCTGGTGCGGCCATGTCGCGGGCATCCGACGAGCGGCCGCGCACGGCGACCACGAGTGCTACCACACTCTCAGGCTCACCGAAGCGCGTTGCGACAAATGGCCAGGCCGCAGACGTTCGAAGCACGACCTCGTCTCAGCTCCAGCAACAACAATTGCAGCAGCAGCCTCTACAATCGCCCCAGCAAGTCAGCCCTCCGGTCCTGCTCTCTGCCCTTCGTGGGTTGAAGCCACATGTGAGCGATGAGGTCTTCGGCGCCATTGAGAATGCTGCGACGGAAGCCTTGGCTCTGACGCAGATGGTGGGTGTTGCAGGCCAACCCGGCCCGATTTCGAGCGGCGCGAGTAGTATTGGGACCAGCATGCCGTCCACGGTGACGGATCGACAGCTCCGCCGCAAGGCCGAGAGTATCTGCCGAAGCCTGACGGAGCTATGCTTGACGCTCAACGACGAGGCGGCGCATCGGAAGGCAGCGGCTGCGGCTGCGGCCGCCACAGCCCAGATTCAAGCGAACCTGCCACCGCCACCGTCACAACGACTCCAGTTGCAGCAAGAGCAACAGCAGCAATTGCAACAAGACGACCAGCAGCAGCTTCAGCTTCAGCAACAGCAAAAGCAGCAGCAGCAGCAGCAGGACTTGCAGCAACGGCAACAGCAGCTCCAACAACAGCACGAGGACATCCGCCAGCATCAGGCGCAGCGGTCCTCACGCGACGACACCATCACACTCTCGAGCCCGACAACGACAACGAACACGGCCTTTACCAACCTCGCCAACTCGCGGCGCGGCATGGTTATGGAACCCGCCGCAACACCCGCAAAGCTGCAAACCAGCCCGCGCGCCCCGACACGCTATGAGGACCGTCGCACGTCGTTCCTGAACACACCCACACTGCCCTCGCCACGCCTTGCCCTTGGCCCACCCGTGTCGAGTGAAAATGCAGGCCGCCGCTCGTCCCTCATGATTGCGCGCACACGCCGCGCCGCCTCTGAGGATCCGGAGGACATGCCACAGTCGACCGGTCGCCGTTCGTCCCTACTGCGGACCCGGCGCGCGGGCACGGAAGAACCCGAGGAGGGCCGCAAGTCGTCTCTGCTGTACCGCTCGCGGCGGACAGTGCCGGTGGCGGACGATGGCGGTGTTGGTGTTGACGACGAAGTGGACGGCGTACAGCAGGTCCGGTCACCCTCGCGCGCCTTGACCGATGTGGCGGGCTTGCGGCCGGCGCAGCGCGGACCCCGCGAGTACCACCCTCGGGAGTACCAGCCGCGGGAGTACCCTTCGCGCGACTACGGTGGCCAGATGCAACAACAGCCGTCGCAGAACGCTCCTACGACCAATGCAGCTGCCGTATCGGCCAATGCCAACGTGGCACAGGCAAACAATGTCGAAGTCAACAACCATTCGCCACTGGCATCGTCGGCTCTCCCGCGCCGCCGTCTCGTCCCTTCCAGCCTCAACTCGCGCCTGGTCACACCTCAGACGACAACAACCGCCATGACCGCGTCGTCGCCGCTGCTGTCGAGCCGTCGCTTCCTGGAGCGCAGCGCGCAGCAGCAGGAGCGAGACGGTCGTGATGGCGGCAGCACCGTCGGCACAAGTGGCACTCTGGCCGATAAGTACGCGGAGGACCGCGGGCAGCGGCAGCTGTCGCTCGGCCAGACGTCGCTGCTGAGCCGCACGACCAGTGTCAGCAGGCGGCGGGAGAGCGCGCTGCCTAACCTGTCCTCGGCCTCGTCCCAGATCGGTGGATACCGGTGAGGTCGCCGTGCCTCTTCCTGCAACCTCTTCATTCTCGTTTCTCGCGTCCCCTTTTTTAATGATCCCTTTATGTCACGCTTTTGACGGACTTGTACTATATTATCAACTGCAACCATAACATGACTAACAACCACCACAAAACACCACAAACTCTCCCCTTTTTGACGTTCGTACGCCGGCGGTCCTCTTTTTCTTTTTCTTTTTCTTTTTTTTTTTCGTTCTTGTCGTTTTTAGTCAAGCATTTTGTGTACCTACTTTTTGTCTTCGCTTCTTGTCTTCTCTTTGTCTCCTCCCACCCTCTTTTCTTCTCCCTTGTCGTCTTTCAGCGATTGATGTCCAGTGTGTATTACGAATTTCATCTCATGACTCCCCAAAGTTGGTGTGGATTGATTGGTCTTTTTGTTCCTGTTCGCTCTTCATGTGTCTGTTCTTTATACGTTTTTATTTATATTTTAGTGTGGCCTTTTTGGGAATATAATAAGCAATGTCATTCCTTCTCACACAGGTGCAACCTTTTGTGACGACCGGATTTGACTCTTTAAGTGCAATTGGACCGTCGAAGAAACTCTCCGCTGGCGGTTTGAATATCTACTTGTAGTCGCATCCATCGCCCGCCGAGCACTACTGTCTCGCTTCTTCCTGACCCAATACAATTCGCTTTGACAGGTCAGAAGTTGCATGTCAAAATGAAATGCGGTCGTGGCACAGCCTTGTTGAAGTGAAACGATGAAAACTGGTGACTCGCCGGTGACTCAATTGACGAATCGATTTTCGCGACGGGCCATGAATGCCTCCTTAGGGCGTTCATGGGCGGATTCTATCTAGCTGCAAGGCTGAGCCAAGCATCTGTTGTGCCCCACTAGCCTGAAAGACTCCGTTTTGGTGACAGGCCGCAAGCCCAACACGACTCACATACAAAAGCGACAACAAACCAAGACTCCGTCCCTAATCGACTCCACGACTCTCAAAGAAGACGCTCTATAAAGTCTTCCTGAATGACGCATATTCTGCATTTGTCTCTGTACACACGCATTACCACTGGCCTGACCAGATCTCTTTCGACAAGAATTGCGTCCAATGTGAACGGCCGCCAAACACGGAACAGACTTGTGCAAAGGACGACAGTGGACGGAACAAGCATACAAAACATCCATACAACGCCAAACGCAAGAAAGACAGCAGGTGCACTCTCCATGGACGACTTTGACAACGCCGAGGCCCTCGCGGCGCAGTTTCACGACCGGCTTGGGGGCATCGGCGGCGGCGGCGGCAACCGGCGAGGCGGGCGCGGCGGGCGCGGCGGCGGCGGTAGACGAGGTGGCGGCGGTGGCGGCGGTGGTGGGCGGTCCGTCGACATCAGCCGCGCCCTCTCGCGGCTGCTCCGCCACCAGGCCGCCAACGCCGGCATCCCGCTCGACCCGGAAGGCTTTGCGCCGCTCGACCGGGTCCTGCAGTGGGGTCCGCTGCGGTCGCTCAACGTCACGCTCGCCGAGGTGCGCGACGTCGTGCTCACCAACGAGAAGCAGCGGTTTGCCCTCAAGCGAGCGGACGCGGACGACGTGGACGGCGTGGACGACGTGGACGACGCGCTGGACCTGCACACGATCCACGACACCGACAGCCCCGCCGCCTACCGCATCCGCGCCAACCAGGGCCACAGCATTGCCACGGTGACCAGCGACGCCGGTCTGCTCACGCCCATCGACGATCCTGAGACGGCCCCGCCGGTCGTGTGCCACGGCACCTTTTTTGCGTTCTGGCTCGCGATCGAAGCGACCGGCGGTCTGCGGCGCATGACGCGCAACCATGTGCACTGCGGCTGCCTGGAGAGCGGCCAGACGGGTGCCGAATCGGTGGAGGCGGCGCGTCGCGCGGGCGCTGTGATCCCGGGTCTGCGGCGCGATGCCCAGGTCCTCGTGTTTCTGGACGTGCGCCGGGCGCTGCGCCAAGACCCGGGTCTCAAATGGTGGCGGGCGGCCAACGGCGTGGTGCTGACCGAGGGCGATGCGGACGGCAAGGTGCCAGCCAAGTATTTCCAGCGCGTGGTCACGAGCCGCGAGGGTGCACGACTGCTGCCACCGCCGGCAACAGGCGACGCAGGAAGCACGGTGAACGAGCTGGTGCTCTGGGAGGACGGGGAGAAGGTGGCCGATCTGCCGGCCGAGACGCTGGCCAAGGCGCGGGTGCCGCACGGCAAGCAGGGATTGCAGAAGCGAGCAGATGCCGCCGCCGGTGCTGGAGGTTCACGAGGTGCAGCTAACAACAAGCAGGACCAGGGGAAAGGTGCATCAGGTGTTGAATAAATGGCACAATGGAGCTGCGCAGCGTGCATTTTTTAAAAACGAAAAAAACGATTGCGCATTCGTACGTACAATAGACATGATACAAGTTATGATACAGTACACCCGAATCCCCTGCGTCGTCTCATCATTACATCGAATACATACATGACCCTTACTGGTAGTTCAGCTCGGGGTTGGCCCGGAAGTTGCACCGGCACCTGCACTCGGGCACAGGACACTCGGCGTGCCGCGAGAACCACTGCCGCGCGTGGTCCAGGTGCAACACATGGTCGCACTTGAGACAAAACGTCGGGAAGCGCGCCGCCAGCCGCGTGTCCGCGTCCGCCGAGGCCTCGGGCCGGTCGGACCGCGGCGTGCCCACGATTTCGAGGCACACGACGCACCGGGGGAGGTGCCGCTTGCAGTTGGGGCAGCTGACGCCCGCCATGGCCAGCTTGGCCGGCAGCTGGTTGTGGTTGTCGAGGGCCACGACGCTGCCCAGCACGCCGCTACCGCTGGTACTACCGCTGGCGCCGGCGCTGACGCCCGACGCCGGCGGCGGCACGGCGAGCCGCGTTTGCGCGTCGCAATAGACACAGCGCAGCGCAATCTGGCGTGCCGGCGGTGCGACTTTGGGCCGGCCGTCGGCGGCGCCCTTGCTGCGCTTGGTGCTCTCGACCTCGAACTTGGCGCGCTGGAAGAAGGCGCGGTGGCGCTGCAAGTAGGCGCGGTAGGCGGTGCGCCAGGCGGTGCAGCGGTAGTCGTCGACAAAGCGCGGCGCCGCCATGGACATGACGAGCGTCGCGGTCTGGACGTCGTGGAACTTGTCGACGTAGCGGGCCCAGATGTCGACGGCGGGCTCGGTGAGGCCCGTCAGCACCAGGCCCTCGACGTCGCCCGTGCGCACGGCCTCGGCGAGCGTGTCGCGCAGCCAGGCGGACAGCTGGTCGTCGTCAAACATGCGGACCGCCACAAAGACGCGCTCGCGCAGGGGCAGCGACGTCTGGTGCGCAATGGTGGTCCAGTCGCCGGTGGCGATGAGCGAGGAGATGGCGCGCAAGTAGGGGTCGGTCTTGGACGCGAGCGCCTCGTCAAAGTCGAGCTGGTCGCGGTCGCCCCGGGCGCCCAGCACCGTGCCGCCGCCGGCCGCGCCGTTCTTGATCCCCTCTTCGTCGCGGCGGCCCATCAGCTGCAGCGCTAGCGAGACAAAGAGCAGCTCGGGGTGCTCGGTGCTGGCCATCTTGAGAATCTGCACGGCTTGGCGGTTGTCGCCGCGGAACAGCGCCTGGGCCGCCGCCATGGTGTGGTACGACGTCGTCCGCTCGGTGGCCGTGTCCGTTTCGCCGCTGCCGTCTGCGCCGTCGCTGCCGCTGTGGTTGGCGGCAAGGCTGCTGGCCGGCGGACGGCCCCAGCCGCAGATTTCGAGGCACAGCTGGCGGTGGTGTGGTTTCCGCGTCTCGACGCCCTCGTAGCGCCGGACGCCGCGTTTCCGGCAGATGGAGCTAATGGTGCGCTGCCAGTTGGACGCGTCGGGGAAGGAGGGCGACGACGACGGGTCGATGCCGTAGATGCGCGCGTCTTTGTTGGTGCCGAGGTCCTCGAACCAGATGCCGGCCACGCCCATGTACGACAAGTCGAGGTAGTGCGCCGTCATGTCGCCGCCGTCGGCGGCCGCCTCGGCATCGCCTAGCCAGCCCCAGACGTCGCACAGCCACGGGTCGTCTGCCACAATCTCTTGGTTCCGGGCGCAGTGGAACAGATACCGCTCCTTGGCGCGGAGCAACATGACGTGGTCGAGCACCGCTTGCGCCTCGGACGGGAAACCCTGCCGCGCCAATGTGGAGGACAGCAGGCTTTCGTGCAGCTCCTGGCTGGTCAGTGGCCGGCCCGAGACGGATGCCAGTGATGCTGTCGAGTCGGTCAGGTCGGCCAGCGAACCTGCTGTTGATGCGGCTGTTGCAGCTGCTGTAGCCGTTGGTGCTGTCGGTGCTGTTCCTGCACGCGCATCCTGTGCCGCTCCCTTTTTGGGCGGCTGCCGCAGATGCTTCTTCTCGAATGCCCGCAGGATCTTGAGCTTTTTGGCCACGGTCTTGGCCGAATAGAACTCGGGCGACAGCCGCGACGTCTTGGCCTGCGCCAGCGCATCGGCGTCGATCTGTGCCGCGCGCTCTTTTTGCGCTTTTTGGATCGCGCCGTTGATCTCGGTGGCATCGGACGCAAAAATGGGGATGTCGGCTAGCGCCTCTTCAAAGGCCACCGGGTACAGCACCTCGGTCGCCTGGTTCGTCTCGAACTGCATCATCGCGTGGTACGATGCGCCCTCTTCCAGGCCGCGGTACGGCGCCGTCCAGGGGATGAGCTTAAACGGGTACGTGGTCGTAAACGACGGCTTCTCGAGAATGTCGTAGCTGCCGTTGGCGCGCAGGACGAGCACGCGCGGCCGCAGCGCGGGCGACCCGATCGTGACCCAGTCAAACGACACAATGCGCTCGTTCTTGTGGCGCGGGTCCGAGTACTGGTTGTCCATCTCGTTGGACCGGCGCACCTCGAGCAGCTCGGGGCTGTGGTCGGCAATCAGCTCCGGCGGGCAGTACTCGTGCTTCGTCTCGTAGACCTTGAGCTGGCCGGACCCGGAGAGCACGCCCAGCATGCCGCGGTGGTCGCGACAGTAGCGCAGCGCACGGATGACGGACGCCTTGCTCTCGTTGATGGCCTGCTCGGACTCGGGCGTGACGGCGCGGTCGAGACGCAGAGCGCCGCCCCACGGCAGCTCGTCGACGTCGACCGCGTCCAGATACAGCGGCGAGGCCATGGACCGGCTCGTGGCGCGCTTGTCCCAGACCATGATGCCCGGGTGGTCGAGCGCCGACGAGGCAACGTAGTTGGGGTCCGCGTAGTCAATGGCCAGGTTGTTGGTGCAGCGCGTCTGAAACTGGAGCGGGTGCAGGCCGGGATCGCGCAGGTCGTGGATGCGCAGGCCCTGGCCTTTGATGCCGACCACGAGCGTGCTGGGGTTGTCCTCGAAGAAGCGCACGCTCGACACGGACACGCTGGCCTCGCGCACCTCGATCGGCTCGCCAAAGGGCTCCATGTCCTTGGGGAACCCGCCGGCCGATGCGGTGGCACCCGAGCCGATGCTGGCTGCATCGACGGGCCGCGCCGACGACGACAGCCGGTTCACGTCCCAGATGTACAGACTGCGGTCGCTGCGCACGCGGTCCAGGCCCACGGCGAGCAGGTTGGACGTGCTGAACGCCACGGCCTGGCACGTGCGCGACATTTTGAGGTTGAGCTCCACGTAGGCGTTGGAGTCGTCGTCGATTTTGAGCAGGTTGACGACGCCCGTGGGCGTGCCGATCGCCACAACGCCCGAGACCGTCGGCGACCAATCAAACGACGTCAGTGTTGGAAAGTCTTCGTGCCTGGACACGTTCTGGTACTCGAACAGGCCTGTCTTTGCGTAGCCCGTCGGCTTGTAGAGCTGCACGACGCGGTGGTGCAGGTTGACGTGCAAAAACGAGTCGATGCTCGCATTCGGCGACCAACGCACCAGGCCCGTCTCCGGCCCATCCATAGCGGAAAAGGCAGTGGGCAGATGCGGTTACTAGAAAAGCACAGAGGAAATGCGCCGGTGGCTGATGTCTCCGAGACAATGTCGTGGCCGTCTCGATACGGGCGCTGTGCTCAGGCGCGGCCAGGGCCGCGGTGGTCGTTGCGCCGAGTTCGCTACCACATGCCAGTTGTTGAGTGCGGCGCGGAGAAGGTGTTTTGTCGCAATCAGTTCGAGCGGGTGTCAAAAGCAAACTGATAGGAGTTGGGTGGGTTGGGTCGATTTTGCTCAATGCTCGTTTAGTGAAGCATCACAAGACGGTTCGCGCCTGCTTCGATAGAGCTTTGTCTGATTACTAGCGAGAGAGAGCTCAGTGGACCCACAATGGCGATTAAAGTGGATCACGTGTCGGCGCCGGCTTCCATTTGCGATAAGATAAGCAAGGCTGGTCGTTTTTACAGCGATAAAAAAAATTACAAGCAGCTGTAGTGGTTGTCTTATACTAACTTTTGTGCCATCCACCTTCGAAAACAACCTCAACATCCACGTCTCGAACTCACCTCCTCACACTCACAAACACACCACAATCGACATGGGCGAGAAACGGCAGTATGGCGACTACGCCGAGCACCCCGACCGCGCCGCCAAGCGCCAAAAGGAGTCGGCCAACAACAGCTATCACAGCGACAAGCAACGGCACCAGCAGCCCGGCGTCAAGAAGCATGCACGGCGGCCCGAGTCGTCCAACTGGGCCAAGAAGCGTGCACGCACAATTGAGCGGAGGCTGCGGAACCCGGACAGTCTGCCGGCCAATGTACAGCGGGATCTGGAGTCAGAGCTGGCGGCACTACGGCGGCAGATTGAGGAGCGGCAAAGCAAGCGGGTGCGCGCGCACATGATTAGCAAATACCACATGCTGCGATTTTTTGGTATGTCACGGTGGGATAGCAGCATTCTTTGCTTTCCTGTTTCCATCTTTTATTGCTCTGTTCCCGTACACACTCTTACTAACTTGTCAGAACGCAAAAAGGCGATACGGCGGCAGAAGCAATTGAAGAAGCAACACGATGCGACGGACGATGCGGCGGAAAAGGCAGAGCTGGCACAAGACCTTGCTGTGGCCGAGATTGATGTGCTGTATCCGCAATACTACCCCTTCCTTGAACCGTACGTAAGCTTGTACCCGCAGAGCAAGAAGGGCAAGGACGGCGAGGACGACAAGGAGGACAAGGAGGACAAGGACGGCAAAAGCACAGCACCGTTTTCTCGCAGTCCACGACCACCAATGTGGGAAGAAATCAAGGCGGCATACGAGGCAGGCGGCCTACGGGCATTGCAGAACATCCGGGATCGGCAACCACCAAAGGAGGGCAAGCAGAGCAAGGATGCCAAGGGCAGCAAGCCCAGCAAGGCCAGCAAGGCCAGCAAGGCTGACAAGGCTGGCACCGACAACAAGCCAGGCAAGACGGCCAAATCAAAAGAGTCCAAGAAGGTGGAGGTGGAGTCTGACAGCGACGATGGAGGATTCTTTGAGGAGGATTAAAGGAGAGGCGAGTGTGTCGCTGTCGTCTTTTCGTTTTATGTCTTTTTTACTGAGTTTGCGTTATGTATCATAGAGCATGGCAAAGGCACGGGCATCGACGGGGTGTACATTTAACATTGAATTCATAGCTTTGATTATCATGATGGAATTGAAGGAAGCCGCTGCATGTTGACAAGGGCAGTGGCCGAGCATTAGGTCTCGTCGGAACCTGCCCATTCAACTTTCCCGCCCACGACACCTAAACGCATAACATACATAATGGGTAGCAAAGGAGGAACACAAGGTGACGTCCGAGAAATGGTCGCTCAAGGCGTAGTCAAGACCAGATGGATGGTGGAAGAAAAAAGTAGAAATAGGAAAGGAAACGTCAAAAGGTATAAGAGAGAGCAGACCAAACAGTATGCACAGAACAACAAAAAAGGGCACTACAACGAACAGCCGTGCCAGAAAAAGGAGAATAGAAACGTAAAAGCAGCAATGAAACAAAAGCACAGAGCCCAACAATCCAAGCGCCTCAACGCAAACAAAACACACACACAAATGTCATCGTCCTCACCAAACCATTCCCCCTCTTCCTCTTCTCGCCGTCTCGCCTTCTCGCCTGCTGTCCTTCTCCGCTTCTCATCTACGCCGAGCGGACGACCGTACGCCTTTCCGCTGTGGCGTCGTCGCACCGGCTGCACCCCGCCGCTTCGGCGTCGTCACCGTTAGGTTCTGGCTCTGGCTCTGGTGCTGCGACCGGGTCGACGGCGCTGGCGGCGGCGGCGGAGCGGCGACAGCCTTGGCCTCTTCCGCGGCGGCCGTGATGGTGCTGTCCTCGACGTCAAAGCCGAGGCCGTTGAGCTCTTCGTCGTCCATGTCGGTCAGGTCCTCGCTCAGCAGGCGCACGGCGTCGCGGCCCGACGACCACTGCTCCTCGACCACGGTCGTGCCCTCGAGGCCGAAACTGCCCAGGTACCAGAGAACGCCGCCGTCGTGCAGGGTGTCGACCGACGCCGGGGGCCGCTGGTTGTCTTTGTCTTGGCTGATGATGGCGACCGGGGCGGCGGCCACATTGCCCGGCAGGCTGCCGGTATGCGACTGCGGGGGGGTCAGGGGCCCGTTGGCTGTGGACAAGCCACTGCCAGAGAGCGGTGCACACCCACCATCGGTCTCCTGGCCCTCCTTGTCCTCCTTTTTCTTGCCACTGCCAATGCATTCGTCCTCGGCCTCGCCGTCAGCGTCCGCGTCAGCGTCCGCGTTCGCATCGACCCCAGCCATGCTGGCCTTCTGCAGGCTGCCGAGCGTGGCAGCCCCGCTGGCGAGCAGGTTGGACGAGCGCGGCGTCGTAATCTCGATGCTGATCGTCTTGTTCCGCGTCGACGTCCTGGGTGTCGCGACCGGGTTGACCGGGTTGACCGGGTCGAGGTCCATTTTCTCGTCTCTTTCGTCGTCTGTGGAGCCACCACGCGTTTGCGTCGGCGCCGCAGACGATGACGATGCGACCACAATCTGGCCGCCGGCCGCACGGAGACCGCCAGCCTCGCCGTCGCCATCGGCGTCGTCGGGGCGGTCCATCATGATGGTGTCGTCCGCCAGCGCGGCGCTCGCCGACGACCGCGCCGGTGCCGCCGCGGACGCTGACTGTATTTCCACGCTCGCCTCGAGCAGCTGCTCGAGCTCCTTCTGCAGCGGCTCCGGGGGGACGCGCGTAATGTCGGCCTCGGCGCGGACGGCGGCTTCGAGCAAGGGCTGGATCGCTTTCAGGATGCGCTTAGCAAGCCGCTTGCGATCGCGGGCCTCGGCGAGCGCGGCAGCCGGTGTGGCGGCAGAAGCAGCAGGCAGGCCGCCCGCCGGGGTCGCGCCATTGGCCAGCAGCTCCGTCGAGGCGTCCGCTTCGGCGGGCGGCGTGGACTTGCCGTCGTCGTCCTGCAGGACCGCGTTGATCGTGCTGCGCACGACCGTGGACAAGTCCTGCACAAAGGCGAGCGTGTTGGTGTAAAAGCGCTTCTGGAGCTTGGCTTGCAGAGCAGCAAAGCCGGCGCGAAACACGTCCTTGTCCTTGTCGTAAAAGCTGGCCTTGTCGATGACGGGCGCCAGCAGCTGGTGGATCGGGAAGTAGCACGTATTGACAAAGTCTTGTTCGAGGGTGGCCAGCGCAAGCTTGTCGCGCTCGCGCTCGACGAGGTCGCCGGTGATGCCACGCAACCGGTCAATGTCCGCCAGCAGCGATTCGGCAAACTCAATGCGGCGCTCGAGACGGGCCTGGCCCGAGGCGCCCATGGTGGCAAAGTTGCGGCGGGTCAGCTCCATGGACGTAAAGGTCTCCATCTGCAGCTGCAGGCGCTTGAGAAGGGCGGCGCCTCTACGCGCTTCGCGTTTGAGCGTCCAGTAGCGGCAGGCCTCGGCGACAAACTCGCGGCGGCGGCGGAGCATGAAGCGCTGCAGGGCCGTCTCGACAATGTCAAAGACGGCCTGGGGGATGACGGGCGCGCCCGACGGCAGACGCCACATGGGCTTGGCGGCGGCTGCAGCGGCTCCCTTCTTCTTGTCGCCACCGGCGTTGGACGTTGCGTCGGTCATGGCGGTGTCGTCGCCAAGCGTAGGGTGGGCGGCCGCGGCGGCCGCGGCGCCCAGGGCCGCCGTGATGCGTGCGCCCGTCATTTGCGACTCGTCGACCGGGTGCTCGACCAGGGCGTGGGTGGTGGCGGCCATCTGCAGGGCCGAGGCACGGCTGTCGGCCCAGATGCGGCCGCGCATGGTGCGCTTGTAGTGGCGCTTGGCCTCCCGCGTGGCCTGGTGCACGTTGTTTTCCTTGGCGTAGTCGGCCGGGCAGTGGCGGTCGCAAAAGGCCTTGAGGATCATGCTGTTATCCAGAATGGCAAGGTTGCCCTGGCTGTTTTTCATCTTAAGGTACAGCCGGGCGCGGCGCGCGCAGGTGACATGGAAGGCCTGGTAGCATGCCTTGTTGCCGCACTGGATGCAGGCGCCCATCTTCTGGCGGCAGATGTAGCAGGTCAGGCGCCAGCGGGTCTTGGGCACCTTCTCGACGTCCATGACGGGCTCCATGAAGGTGGTGTTGCCGAGCGAGGTCTCGGGAATCCACATGGCGCACAGCATATGGGCCCATTTGGACGAGTTGGTCTGCTTGAAGGCGCCGTCGGTGTTGGGGCAGAAGATGCAGGTGGGCACGCCGCGGCCAATCAGCTGGCACTTGCGGCACATCCACTGGCCCTCGGGGATGAAGGGCACGCCGTAGCAGTCTTGGTGGACGGCGAGGTCGCAGCCGTCACAAAAGACAATGGCGTTGGTGTTCTCGCAGTCGCCGTCGTCGCAGATGGCGCACTTGCTGTCCTGCTCCTCGCCGCCTTGGGTCTCGCCATTAACGGCCGCGGCGGACGAGGAGCGCGGACGGTGCGTCTGCGGGGGTTTCGGGTTGGGCTTGGGGATGCGCTTTTCGAGCGCGTGCCACTCCTTCTCGATCTTGGTGATGGTGATCTCAAAGATCTCGCGCGTGATCGGCTCGACATTGGCGGCTTTGCGCTGGACGTTGAGCTTGACCAGCCACATGTCGTCCTGCTCGTCCATGTCGTACTCGACACGCCCCACGCCGCCGTTGCTGCCAGCGCCGCCGCCTGCAAGGACAAGGCTCACGCTGCTGCCTGGGACGCCGTATGCGGTTGGCAGAGAGGACGAGGCGCCCCATGCTTCCGTGGCGGCCGACCCGGCACCGCCGCCACCAGCACTGGCGCTCTTCTCCGCGGCGGCATGGTGGTGGTACGCGTCAATCTCCTCTTCCGCGTTGGCGTCACTCGCCTTGATCAGGTAGGGATCCGGCCGCACGTAGACGTCACTCTCTTGATAGCCCACATTCATCATGGACTTGTCGACGTAGCGGCCGGCGGTCTTGCCCTCAAACAACAGGATGCGGTCGGTCTTCCGATACGACGGCAGCTTCAGGTCCAGTTTCTCTTTGGGTGTCTGGTTGTGGATCGGCAGCACCTTGGGCGTCTTGGGCGTTGTCGACAGCCCGTACGTGATTAGCCCCAGTCCCAGCCCGTCGCGCGGCGGCCGGCCGATTCTGCGGCGCAGAGGGGTTTCCGGCAGACCAGACGTGGCCGAGGGCGACCCGCTCGCCGCAGTCAGGTCGTGTTGTGATGCGTCTGTTGAGAAGGATGTGGCAGCTAGTGTGTTGTTGGCGTCGCCGTTGGGCAACCCACCGTTTGTATCTGTCGTGCCACCAAGCGTCGGCGTTGCTATTGCACCGACATTGTGGCTGGTCGCGGACGTGCTCCCGCCATTCGCAAAGGGGGATGCTCCGCTGAACGAGAGGCCTGCAGTCGGCGTGGCCGTGGCCGACGGGCGCGGCGCTGTGCCGTCCACCTCCTCGGAGGGGAAGACCATGAACGTGGTCTCAATGTCCAGATTCGGGTGGAACTCCTCCCACCCGCGTTCCTCGCGGGGCTTGTATCCTTCGCTCTGCACGACGGCGGCCGCAACCGCTGCCGCCGAGCTAAACTGCTCCTCGTCGTCCGGTTCGTATCTGCTCACGGCGATCCGTGTCCGCGTGCTTCGCTCGCGTCGGGGCAGTATTGGTGATGATGCGGGGGGTTTGGGGGCGCGTACGGCCGGTGCCCGGCGAGGGGCGGTGGCGGAGCGGCTGCCTCCGCCACCGCCGGCGCCTCCGGGGGATGCTCGTGGGGCGCCGCGGACCACATAGGTGACGTTGCCGTCCTCGTCAACAAAACGACCGCCTCCGCCAGGGCCTCCAGGGATGTACTTGCGCCTCTTAGGCGGTGGTTCAGAGGATGCGACCGCCATTCGAGCTGCTCGTGATGCGTTTGTAGAGCCGGGTGGGCGACCACGGCGGCGGCCAGTCGACGTCCGTCGAGGCGTGGATGGCGCGGCCGCCATATAGGGGGGTGGGGGACTCGCTAGGGAAGGGCGAGCGAGGGCGGCTCCCGAGTGAGCGCTCGCGTATTCTCGTGTTGGGCACAGCTATTCGTGATAACGAGCGGTTTTGATGATGGAAGAGATGGTCCTGGGCTTGCGGGTGAGGCGTTACGAGAACCGCGTCTCAGGATACCGAGAGGGGGAGTCGACGCGCATCTGAGTCGCACGGCGTGGCGAGGGCGTAAAACGAGTAAATATTGATGAGAAAACAACGGCCTGAATTAGAGACGCGCAGGGCTGACAGGATGCTATGCGTTGCTCCTCAAATGCGGCGTTGCACGTTGGTGATACGGGGTGTTTTGGTGATTGTCGTCGAGGGGGGTGGAGGCAAAATGGCCACTCAACCACACAGAAGACCCCGTCGGCGATTCACGTCGCGATGGACGGCAAACCGAGCCATTCCCTATCGGGACTAGCGTTGTAGTTTGGGGGTCCACTTTTGTCAGCCGCCAAACAAGGGGCGCGGGTGTCACAGAATAAAAGGAAAATCAAAGCCATTAATTCGTATGGTATGGCGTTCGATGTACTCTAAAATCTGCAGGCTGGGCACCCGTTATGCATCCTACGAGTGCGCCATTGTTTGGCTTTGACACGATATGGGGTATTTCAGTGTTTGAGCAAAACTTCGACGTAACAGGGGAATTGATTTCGAGAGACCCAGCGCCATGCAATTGTCTACTTGGAGACGAACTGTAGTTCTCGACGAACGTCCAACATATCACATTCAATGGCCGTTCACTGCTTTGTTTTCTCGTATCGGTGGTTGTGACATCAAAATCTCCGCCGAGCGGAGCATTCGATCTTTGGAAATCTAGAACAGCCCTGGGACAAGGCGACCCAAATGATGTCATCCCGTTGGCTTGTCCCCTTTCTTGGCGCCACATCACTGACTGTCGTTCTGACCGCCAATTCATGCACAGGTTGCTGACAACGACAACTTACAATCGCAAGTCATATCTAGAGACAGCCGCCAGTTTTAACCATTGCAGTTGTTCTCAAAAGACGCTTCACGGGATGTCATTGTCTCGACCATTCAAAGACATCGATCTCATCGTCCGCAAACCAATGACTCAAGATAATAATATGCTTTGATCAACTCGTTGCCGATGCATCAAAGGTTTGAAGTTTTTTATGATAGTCTTCTACGTCATGTATGAGAAGAGGCCGACTGGTTACACGTACAACCGTATCCAAGAAACTCGAGATCCGCTGGAGGCTCAAGATCCGTTTTATCTCGCGTCAATCAACTGCTCGGCCCAGATTTCATTCTTGCGAATTCTATTGATGATCGTTCTTGCAAGGAGCATCGGCACTTCGGCGTTATGCTCTCCAAGTCCAGAAAGTACGCCTTTGAAATAACTCACGGGTAGGACGTGAACATTCGCCGTACTACGCCTCAGTCGAGTATTGCCAAATGTCATCAAAGAGATGAATTGTAGCACACCCTCGCGGTGTGACAAAAGGGGCGGAGACACGGGGACCAGCGAACGCCGTGATCCGCTTAGTTTGATGAAACCTGGTGATGGACCCTGGAAAAAGAGAAGTAAACCGGTCGTTGCCGGAAGAAGGAAGCTACGGTGGAAGCTAGACCACAGTGTCGTTCCTTTTGAGCATAGCAAATGCTGCAATGGCTTTTGTCATTATCTGTCTGGGACTAGTGACGCCATCCACAGCTCAGCAGAATGCCTGGCGATACACAGCTTGATCCATTCATATAGTCCATCTGCAACGCCGAAAAGCGAGACGCAAAAGGTTCTTTTGATAAATCTTTCACAATTGTCAAGTCTACAGACGCCTCTTCACAACAATTGGATTTCGTAGCCACGCAGCAGACTTCGAGGTTTCATAGCTCCCAAAGCCCATTCACGCCGCAGCATCATTTTCAATCAAGACATGTGTTTACAGTAAAGTCACCAAGCATCCACGAGTTCAATTAATAAAGAAATGGGTTGTGTTCAGATTCCAGAAGATAGTCCAATATAACGCCAATATGTCGAAAAAAAATCAAAAAGTCGCGCCCTATTATAAAAAATATAAAACCGTCTTTGCCTGCAAAGGGCAGATAGATGCAAAATGAAAACTCCCCACGAGGCCAAGATCACAAAACAAGGTATCAATGGAAAGTAACAAAAGAAGCCAAACAAGAAACTTGTCGTGCGATGCAAAACATGCAAGACATTCACAAAACCTTGCTACAGATGAAAGCACAAACATCAGAACATCAATGGGCGAAAATCGCCCACCATAGTCAGCAAATATGCTGTTGCCAACGGGTCACGACACAGTGGTCGACCAAAAAAGTTAACGGACGCCCTCCAATTCTAGATTTGGAGGACGAGGGTATCAAAAGGGGAGAAGGGGTAAGGTGGGAAAGGTAAGGTGTGCCTCATATGTGGACAAAGAAGTTTGAGCACTAGAGTGCATCCCGCGAGGACAATATAATAGAAAAGGCAGCGAAGCCTTCCGTTGTCTTGTTTAACCCAGCGTGCGGCCGGAGTGAATGGCCTGCACACTCGTCGACCGCGGCGCGACAGGACTAGGATGCAGCGGCGACGTGGTGGCGCTGCTAAAGGGGTTGTCGTGATATTGAGGCGGATGGCGCACGGGATCCCAGGTCTCTTCGCTCAGGACGCTGAGGTAGCCCTCGCCAACCTGGTCCCGCAGTGCTTCGATCTTGCGCCGGTACAGCTCACCACCGACGTCCCAGTCCTGTGGCTCGCTCCATGGTTCAGCCGGCGCAGGCGAAGGCGTGCTGGTCGCCTTGGTCGGAGTCCGCGTCGGCGTCGTAGGCGTTGCTGGAGCCTGTGGCACCGGCGCCTGCACTGTAAGCGGCGACTGCGGTGGTAATGGTGGCAGAGCTTGTGCAAGTCTGGTTGATGTAGGTGCGCCTGTACTGGTGCCGTTTGCCAATATTGGCATCTCGGCCACCTCGGCTACCGCTGTAAACGTCGAGCTGGTATCGACCGGGTGCGGTGTGATCATGGCTTGGGGCTTGGCTGGCTTCGCTTCGAGTAGCACAGGCACAGCCGCAGCAGACGAAACGAGGCGATCATCCTGAGCCGGAACAGTGGGAGCGGTAGAAACAGTTGGCATAGTTGAAACCGTGGGCAGCGCTGGTAGAGGGCGTACGTTGGGTGTATCCTCAGGCGACCGGGAAATGATATAGTTGTCTTCAGTTGTTGTCAAGTACGACGTCTCGGGTACAACAGGTAACGGCGGTAGTACAGCCGTGGTTGCACGGTCGAACGAGGTTTCCAACGGTGACGGGGCAGAGGGCGGGGGTAAAACAGGTGCTGTCGTTGCCGATGTGGACAGCACGTGCGTAGTGGTGACGTTGTTGGTGGCCAAATCAACAATCCGTCGCTTCGGGGCACGCTTGCGACGGGTGGCATTGCCGTTGCTCTCGCCAGAGGCGGTGCGCACCACGGGCCGCTCTTTCCGCAGAACAGCAGGTTCACGAAGCTCGCGGGTTTCGCGAGTGTCGCGCGGTGTATCGTACACAATAGCAGGCTTGCTCACATCGACAGCAGCGATGGTGGGAACAGGTTGCGGCTTGATCACGGGCACCATAGGCGGCAGTGGAGCACGCTCCACGAGATACTTGCGCTCCGAGTAGCTGGGGCCGCAGGCATCTATGATGATGTCTTCGGTGAAACCCGGTGTCTTGCGGAACAGGTTGAAGATGGTGATGCGGTAGTCCTTGTGGGTCCGTGTGAAGGGATTGCCTCCCACCCACACCTCGCGAATTTCGGGAATACCGGTCAGACGTGCCAGCTCCGTCGGGTCAGTGAGGCTGTTATCACGGAGATCGAGGCGCTCCAGCGGGTACAACTTCTCAATGCCGGCTATGGACTGTAGCCGGTTGGCCCGCAAGTTCAGCGCAGTGATGGCAGGCAACGGGAAGTGCGCGAGCGAGTGCAGAGAGTCGATCATGCACTGCGACAGGTTCAATGCACGGAGCGCGGTCAGGGTCGCCAGGCTGTCCGGAATCTGCGTGAAGAGGTTGCTCGACAAGTCGAGCGAATGCAGAGTGTTGGACAGTGGGGACAGGCTGAAGGCAGGGATCGAGGTAAGTGAGTTATCCGCCAAGCTGAGGTGCTTCAGGAAGCGCCACTTGGTCGCCGGGAGGACGCCGACGGTGAGCAGGTTGGACGTGCTGCCCCGGCGGTAGTGCCATGAGTCGGAAAGGCTCGACTGCGAACTGCCAGACCCGGATCGGTGCACTTTGTGTGAGCTGCGGACGTATGCGGTGCCGTTGCGCGAGCTTGAGGGCCGACGCGGCGAGTGGCTGCGAGGGCGCGACGACTTGGAGGGCGAGTGCGGCGAGGCCTCATCGCTGTTGGACCGGGCGAGCGAGGGCCGGAAATCAGTACCACTGTGCTCGGGCTGCTCGTCTGCGGATGGTTCGCTAATAACCGACCCAATCCGCATGTCGAGCACCGAGGTACGCGGGTCTGGCGAGCCGGGCATTGACATGCTCTTGTGCAGCTCGGCATGTGGGATCGACGGGCTGCTACGACGCGGGCTCATCATACCCATGCTGCCACCGACGGAGCCGCCGCTGAAAGGCCCAATGGTCGGGGATGACTGTGTCTTGGATGTCCGCCGCCGGCGCTTCTCCATGTCATCAAGGACAATGTCGACCAGAATCTCGATAGGATCTTCGATGGATGCACGCTTCAGCGTCAGAGACCGCAGTTGGTCGGCAAGGCGATCCCAGCCAAAGAATTGCCGAAAGTCCATGTCGCATACTTCAAGAGCTTGCACGTTTTTGAAGACATAGAGTGGGACGGCCGAGTCGAAGGGGAACTCCTCGTAGCCCCGGATGAGGCGGGCACGCCAGTCGGGGGCGAGACGCAGACACGGGATCTTGGTGAAGGCCGAGTACAGGTATTTGAGGTCAGCCTGCAGGGCGGCCTTTTGCCGCTCGGTGCGAGCGGCCGAGATGCTCGAACCAAGAC